AAATGAGGAGAGTGTTTTAAACATATACACTCACTCCGGGAACATAATTGCTACCCGGTCTGGGAGGACAGTGTTTTAAACATATACACTCACTCCAGGGACAGAATAGCTACAAGGTCTGGGAACAGAGTGTTTTAAACATATACACTCACTCCCGGAACATAATCGCTACAAGGTCTGGGAGGAGAGCGTTTTAAACATATACACTCACTCCAGGGACAGAATAGCTACAAGGTCTGGGAACAGAGTGTTTGAGAAATGAGGAGAGTGTTTTAAACATATACACTCCCTCCAGGAACATAATCGCTACAAGGTCTGGGAACAGAGTGTTTTAAACATATACACTCACTCCGGGAACATAATTGCTACCCGGTCTGGGAGGAGGGTGTTTTAAACATATACACTCACTCCAGGGACAGAATAGCTACAAGGTCTGGGAACAGAGTGTTTGAGAAATGAGGAGAGTGTTTTAAACATATACACTCACTCCAGGGACAGAATAGCTACAAGGTCTGGGAACAGAGTGTTTTAAACATATACACTCACTCCCGGAACATAATTGCTACACGGTCTGGGAGGATAGTGTTTTAAACATATACACTCACTCCAGGGACAGAATAGCTACAAGGTCTGGGAACAGAGTGTTTGAGAAATGAGGAGAGTGTTTTAAACATATACACTCACTCCGGGAACATAATTGCTACCCGGTCTGGGAGGACAGTGTTTTAAACATATACACTCACTCCCGGAACATAATCGCTACAAGGTCTGGGAGGAGACTGTTTTAAACATATACACTCACTCCAGGGACAGAATAGCTACAAGGTCTGGGAACAGAGTGTTTGAGAAATGAGGAGAGTGTTTTAAACATATACACTCACTCCAGGAACATAATTGCTACAATGTTTCGAGAGGAGAGTTTTTTTTAAACATATACACTCACTCCAGGAACAGAATAGCTACAAGGTCTGGGAACAGAGTGTTTGAGAAATGTACGACCAGGAAATAGAAGGGGTGCAAGGTCAGATAGGCATCGGATCTATACTTTTAATAAATTGATAGTCAGAACTGATTTGTTTTATTCTTCAGTGTGTGTCGGTATTTGTGACAGTCATACGTATGGGAACTATTTGGACGTTTCCACGGTGACGCTGATGACAGTTCCTGATGTTGTTACAAAAGAGATCCGGTAAGGTGGAATAAGAACTAATAATGCGGGCCTCGCGAAAATGATTAGTTCAAAAGATGATTTATATTTATCGGTTGATATATTGGTTACAGTTTACGTCAGTGTCCGCCGGATTTGTAACTATTTAAGGAGTGAAACGCTTTTTCATAATTATTATTTGTGCTGATTATGTGATTTCAAGAATTCTATTTGATAGTATATTGTTGTATATTTTCTCAGTTAATAATCAGTTTTAAATGCAAATTTGTCTAAGTGATGGAACAGCTTTTTTTGCGGGAACGATGTCCATGTTTTGTACGGTTATTAGTTTAATGGTTTCTCATAGATCAGTATTTTAGGTAACTTTAGTTCAATGGTTTCTCATAGATCAGTATTTTAGGTTACTTTAGTTTAATGGTTTCTCATTGATAAATATTTTAGACAACTTTAGTTTAATGGTTTCTCATTGATTAATATTTTAGACAACTTTAGTCTAATGATTTCTCATAGATAGGTATTTTAGGTTACTTTAGTTTAATGGTTTCTCATTGATCAGTATTTTAGGTAACTATAGTTTAAGGTTTTCTCATTTATCAGTATTTTAGGTAACTTTAGTTTGATGTTTTCTCATTGATCAGTATTTTAGGTAACTTTAGTTTAATGGTTTCTCATTGATTAGTATTTTCGGTAACGATAGTTTAAGGTTTTCTCATTGATCAGTATTTTAGATAACTTTAGTTAAATAGTTTCTCATTTATCAGTATTTAGATAACTTTAGTTTAATGGTTCCTCATTGATCAGTATTTTAGGGAACTTTAGTTTTAGGGTTTCTCATTGATCAGTATTTTATAAAACTTTAGTTATCGGACCGTTAAGAAGGGGCTTTCTTCTTACTAGAATTTTAATATAGCTGAATTGTTTTTAAATTCGCTTTGATAAGGTTTGAGCTTGAGATTACACATAAAAGTAAGGCAGTTTATTATATTGCAATGCAGAGCTCAGTATTATTACACCAATCATATAAAATACAACGGTTGATGTAAATAAGAATCACAAGGATTGGACTGGATGAATAAATCGAATAACGGAGTGCTTCGCGGTTTATTCAGAGAGGACTTCGTTTTTTTGTTTATGCATCGATAAACCAATTTCATATATAGTCCAATCCTAAATTGTCCCTATATAAGTGTGATATGATGATCTGGGTATGTACTATCACCTTAGAGTAAAGTCCAGGAGTGATATAACCTGTTGAGGGGACCCTAATCCGATATGATACGAATGTTGGGTAAAAAAAAAGATTTATTATACCGAATGGAAAGTTAATTTGATATCAATTTAGAATAACAAAAATAAGGTGAATTTTCGAATTTGATTTAAAGAATAAATTTCACAAGTCAATCCCCAATTATAGAAAATTACACGGCTTTGTAACTGGTATACAACACCTGGGTAGAGGCAAACTTTGCAAAATAGTGTTTTTTCTTCAAACTGCAGTCAACATTTGAGTGATGCTCTGCACTGTTGCTTAGGTCCATCTTAAATGACACCACTATATATTATTAGTTTAAGTACATTATTAAGGGATGCCCCATGTCATATTGTAATTTAAAGCATTGTGGCACCTGTTGTTGACTGAAAAGTTCTCAAATAAATTTGCTGCTTCGAAATATCTTCGTTTTTGTTCTTAGGATAAATTCCCTAAAGTAATTGCTCCGATTTCCTGTTCCTCTCGCCCCTGTTACTCGTGTAGTTGTTGTGACTTGGCGAGGAGGCGTTGGCTACAAACAAATGCCAGTGTGAAAAAAATCGATCACACTTATTTGTGTATCACGTTTTCTTTTTGCGGAGAGATTCAGTTTATATTTGGTAGATTAACCATAATATAACCTGCATTTCTGTCTTCTCTCTGACAATCAAAATACAATCACACGTTCTTTTTCTATAATTGGATGAAATTCCCGGAAAATGAGTTTAGTAGCTATTGCGCACAGGGTCGCACATCCTGACACAGCGTGTATATGTTTATAAGTTTGTGATATTTGCATGATATGACGTAGGTTGAGTTATAAAAATTGGTACATTTTAACAAAAACTTATATGATATACAGTTTCCATGGTTTCAATGTAGATGTACATATAGGTTTTTAATGAGGCATCTCGTCTGTCAACCAAACCGATAGGGATTTACGATATATCGATTATTTTCTAGTTCTTTCATATTTTATATGTTTCGGAATAACTGTCGATAAAGCTAATATACGTTGTCTGTGCTCTGACGTTTAATGTTCGACATCGGCGTTTGTTGTTTTGCCATTCACAGTAATGAAGTGTATTGAATGAAAAATGATAAAGAAAATTGGTATCTAATATATATATGTCGTTACCGACTGTCCTTACCTCATGGTCTGGTCGTAACCTTTAACATGCGTACTGATACACGTGTCGTATTGCGGTATAGGTGTGTCGCTTTATCATTTTACGTTATTTTAGTGCAGATGTATGTTGTGTTCGAGTAACAACTTATGATCAGATGTCCATCTTTGTCAACCATCTTTAATAGATTGCCAGAACGAGGCTAACACACATGAATATACACGTATCCGGTATAAGGCCTAACTAATCGATAAGTGAGATACCACAACTCCCTTTGTTTTCAAAGTTTGATAAAACTTAAATGGTAATTATGACTAGTTATATAATTTATACATTCTGTGAAATAAAAGAACATATATATATATGAAGTATAGCATAGTCTTTTTTTGTTAACGAATGTCCTTTCTGTTTTATCAGATTTAACCATGTCCATTTTCCTTGAACTGATGATAAATAGAGTTGTCTCACTTGAAATTAAAGTGTAGAATTGAACTGCCTTACAGTGTTTTCTTCTTTTCTTTCTATCAACCATTGACAGACATATCAAACTAATAATAAAATGTCCAACAATTTAATGTCCATTATGACGAGAACTTTTTTAACACAATCAAATAATACTGTTCTGTAAACTTCCTGTTCACAGTTTATGATTTTGCTATCAAGAGTGGTCAATTTCACTAGCTATATTTTAGAAAAATGAGTCTAAAATGATGTATTGATACATATACTAGCGGAACAAAGAAACTGTGCATGCCTAAAATGTGTTATAAAAATAAATGTGTATGACGGAGAACAACAAGGTTTTCATGGACAATTTATTTGTTATTTATTTTCTGTTGGTTTAAACTTTCCGGCCTGTCCTTTCTCGGGCTATTTATAATTAATTACGCAATGTCGTAACATCGACTGTGTTACAGATGGCATTCCAGATCTGTACCAACGCTGCAGCCAAATCAGCCAACGTCACCGGTTGATTAGGCAATGCCCGTAATCTGCGCTTCATTTCATCCTAGACGTGTTCAAAGGGCGACAGATCGGGGGGATACAGCAGGCCAGGGCAACACGTCAACGCTCTGCTGGGTCAGAAAGTCCATAGCGACACGAGCTGTGTGTGGCCTGGCGTTGTCCTGCTGTAGCGTAATGTGACGTTGCTGCCCTTGCACGAATGGAACGACGTGGGTCCGGAGGATCTCGTCACGGTAACGTAGCGCGTTCAAATTCCCGTTAACAACTACCAGAGGCGTTCTCCCGTTGGCTGTGATGCCGCCCCAAATCATAACGCTGCCTCCGCCGAAAGAACGTCGTTGTGACACACACGCGTCACGGAAACGTTCTCCAACGCGACGATACACTCTGGAACGGCCGTCACTACTACATGTATCCAGGTGGACTCGCGACTTGTCCGTAAATAAAATGCCTGCCCAATCCCGTCGAGTAAATCGCAGATGCCTTCTGCACCAGTCCAGACGTGCTACACGATGACGTGGCAAAAGAACTGGGCGGATTGCAGGAGTAATCTTTCCTTTAATTTTTCTGAGTTCACTCCACAGACTATTCTATCCCTGATCATCTCGTCTTTAATTGGAGCGAATTGCATGTTTTTGCTATCAACCTGAGATCTGTTACATACTGATCGATTGCTTCGTTTTTGTGCTGAGAACGGGTATAGAATCGATGACGCCAGACAGTGATATTCTCTATTGGTGCAAAGTAATCTTTGAATTTATCGGAAAGTACATCTATTTTGTCCTTATCGTCATCTAGAAGCGTTAACGCGTTGAAAAGTTCTCTACTATCTTGGCCTTTAAGGTACAGAAAGGCGGCACATTTATCTTTTTGATCCCACCCATGCACCGCAATGTCCAGGTATAATTCCATCGTTTGTTTCCAACATCTCCTACTTTTTGGGAGATCGCCGTAGCTGTAAACTCTAGCTCTGGGGGTGGGCGTGTTCCATGTTGACAACAACAAGTGAGCTGTAACAGTAGCTCTGAGGGAAAATGTTAGGTTTTTTTCAAAATGGCGAACCACGTGCTTTGGTACAGTAATCAGTATGTCGGTGAGGGGAGACCGTCGAGTAGGTTGTTTATCAAGTATTATTTAGTTTTTCTGAGCAAAATTCTGATGTACTTGAGTTGTTTACCCATATAGCCTACGGTTCGCTGATTTCTTGACTTTACTCCTGACACCATGTTGTGTTCGAGTAACAACTCATGATCAGATGTCAATCTTTGTCAGCCATGTTTAATAGATTGCCAGAACGAGGTTTACACACACGAAAACACACGTATCCGGTATAAGGCCTAACTAATCGATAAGTCAGATTGCCACAATGTACAGTTCGACCTCATATAAAACCAGCAAGAGTATACCAAAATGTCAGCAAAATTGTCATTTATTTAGTTTATGAACTCATAATCGCTTAAATGAATGGGGTGAAAAGAATAAAAGAAAACACCATTATTATCAATTAAGTTAAGTTAACGATCAGTAAATCAAAATCGTCGCGCGTGTTGTAAATTATTAAGTTGTCCCTGTGGGTGTTGTTGTTAGTAACGATCGAGGTTAACAGGGACGGGAGAAGTACGTAACTATCCAAGCGGTATGCATTAAGCAAAAACGTCCACATATTTTTGCGGTCATTTGGTCAGCGCTTATGATTTGAATTAAAACAATAGACAGCAAGCACTTTTACAATGCACAGCTAAGGTCAATACATTGTCATTCAGTCCTCATTATATCAGCCAGACCGCCTAAAGTTTAAATCCATTCCAGGTTGATACTCTAGCGAACAGATCATGGAAGCATTTTATAACACTTGTTCCGTTTATATTCCTTTTGACCCAAAGATATACGGTAGCTTGTGAGATCATTGACCCATTTTGTAACACTTGTTCCGTTTGTATTCCTTTTGACCCAAAGATATACGGTAGCTTGTGAGATCATTAAACCATTTTGCAACACTTGTTCCGTTTGTATTCCTTTTGACACAAAGATATACGGTAGCTTGTAAAATCATTGAAGCATTTTGTATCACTTGTTCCGTTTGTATTCCTTTTGACCCAAAGATATACGGTAGCTTGTGTGAAAAGAAAATCTTTTCTGTTATTTGTTTTTAATTAAACTGCTTTTGATATGTTCGTGAATAGCCAAAATTGTTATGTAAAATAGAGAAGTTAGCCACGAAACTACACACGTGTTTACACCTTGACATGTCTGTTCATGTGGACAATTTCCCATTGCTTCATCCAGGGTCCAGTGATAGTTGTATCTAGATCCGGGTCGTCCGCCCCCTACAACAAAAACACCATACTTACTGTCTTGTTCATCAATATTACACGTATCAAGGGTTTTCTACCGCACATGGTACAATCTACACTGAATTATATATTAAGATTGTCATAACAACCCCGAATATGCCGAACGATTATATTCTAACTCAGATAAATGCATTATGTGTTCTCATCGCAAACGAAAATTTAAGAACCAATAAAGTAGTATCTGTCCTCTACAACTTGAATTTAAAGATACTTCGGATTCCTCTGCAGCATTTTCCTTTTTTTTTTAGCTAAATAATTTTAAATTCATGACATATGCCCTTGCTACCAGGTTTCCAAATAGGTTTTGCTGGAATTCTTTATTTCACTTTTCTTCTATTTCCTCTGTTCTTGTCGTTGTGTATTATTTTGCAATATCTTCGAGTTGGGCTTTGTTCTTGCGTATTTACAATATGCCAAACAGTTCCTTTCTTTATATGCTGCCCACCTGTTTTTTACCTACAAGATTTCCACCATAGCTATATATTGTAATTCCTAGTTAAATTCAGTAAAACTACTAAAGGATGTTTCTTCCATTTTTAGAGGAAATAAACTTTTCCTGTGCGTATTAATTTGTGTCACACGGTTAGGCCAGTATTGTTCCGCCAAAACAGCAAAATACTTTTGCTACATATATTGAAATAAACGATATTGACCAAATATGAGGATTGATTCTTGTCTTGAGAATTTAATGGAGTGAAGAATCGAGTTAGCCTTGAGACAAATTCAACATGAATGCAGTTCATCACCTTATACAATCAACAATAGCAAGTTTCAGTTTTAACTTTTAAATCGGAAGATAAAAATGTCAAGCATGATATTTGGTAAAACACCAAAACAGCAATATACATGACAAATTGAATTCAAACCTCGGTTTGTCCCGCCACTGATGCCTTCTGTTGGGCGTTTCTATCGACCGAGTCAAACGTCTCCCAGTCTATGTCAAGGTTCGGATTGTCTGAAGATCGCATAGCAATCTTCTCTTTCAATCCCCATAGTCCGCTCGGACAGTCCAGGCGCTGCCATCTTAAGTCAACTGTCCACCGGATCTGGTTCGTCGTGTTGGGAAGGCTAGTGTAAAACGAGAGAGATATAGCACTCAGGTCAAGGGTGTAAACTAAGTATGATGATATTTAGTACTGTAATTGATATAGAATTTAGCTGCATTTCTTTATCATCAATTATGAAATAGGTTTAATCACTTATTGTACATAGGTTTATCAGGCACATCCAGTGAGACGTTTCCATGACTACTAGCGTATAGCCTGTGTGCGTAAGTACGCAATGGTGTAACATATGTTACCGAGTTAGGAGTCGTACATATTATAATCTGAATGAACATACGTTTTACCGATCATTTTTCTGATAACTGTCACAGAGTACATGTTATACTACTCAGCGAAAAGTCACGCACAAACACATTACACTGGTTGTGTCATATGAATTTAATTTTCAAAAATTGATAAAAGAAAATATTGATAGAATTTGTGTGGCCGGATGGTAGGATAGCGCGCAGGGGTAGTTAATGTTGGAAGGAAGCCGAAGTGCCCGGAGAAAACCCACGTAGTCCAGCATTTCATATCAGATCGAGGAATCGAATACCGCCGTCTTTGTGAAAGGTAAGGGCATTATCCAATGTGCCACCCTATCGCACGTGCAACAATACATACATTACGCATTGCATGTACTGATAAGTACTGCTAATAAACATACATCATACTCAATATCTGTTAATATAACACTTAAAAACATACATCATACTCAATTTCTGTTAATATAACACTTAAAAACATACATCATACTCAATATCTGTTAATATAACACTTAAAAACATACATCATACTCAATGTCTGTAAATATAATACTTAAAAACATACATCATACTCAATATCTGTTAATATAACACTTACAAACATACATCATACTCAATATCTGTTAATATAACACTTAAACACATTCATCAAACTCAATATTTGTTAATATAACACTTACATGATACGCCTTATGTGGTAATGTGTGTTATTATACCTGTAGTGAAAATCCTGTAATATGATTGGTCGAGACAAATTGTTCATTTTACACTGTCACACTCGCTTTAACATTGAGTCAATTGAAGGGTGCTTCCCAACGCCCTATCAACGGGCGACAGTGTGGTTTGACAGTGCGAAATAGTGACCACGCAAAGAAGATGCGCGTACGGTACGGTTTGTTTCAGCCACCATTTATTTGCATTGTGATTCTCGCATGTGGTACACAGGCGGTCCATGTCGCACCGTTGCTTACTCGCCGGTGATTAGTACAACAATGTAACGCTGAGATGAGTGAGATTTCCAAACGCTTCATTCACCAGGTAGTTAGGATAAACAATTGGCCGTCTGCTACGTTTAGTAAATGACGGCAAGATTTACAGATGTCAAGTTGGGTGTTTTGGATAAAATGTTTACGGATAAAAATATAAGGACTCTATACGCACGCGGTCGGTACTGTCAAACGAACATGTACAAAGCAGTTGCATGAAAAAACCGGGCAGTGAAACATAAGGACACTATCACTGACGTAGCTGCGATAACGTAGATTTCTGAGGACGAGAGATTTTTTTTTTATATATATTACGTCGTCAGAGCTACGAAGCGGTCCTATGCCAACTAATGGAGCAAAATCAAAAGTGTTAATCTGTAAGATTGCATATAATTCACGCCTCATATGAGTATAATGTAATCAAATATTGCATACCTGTTGAAAAAACGAATCCTTACCCATGCAAAAAACTCTTTTACGAAATTAACAAAGCCCGTCTTGGGGAAAAAAAAATATAAACGACCGCCATGACAGATCACGCGTGATGCTTTCTCAATTATCCTTTCTATATATGGCCTGCATGGCCAAATATAGTATTACTAGTGATGCCGCCATGTTTACTACAATATCCATATTGGGTCATGACACCCATATTTGGACGTCTGACCTATATCGGAAGAGAGACAAACTTTCAAACATGGCGGTCAATTCAGATTTCGATTATGCTTGCTACGTTAACTTGATAATTTAACGACATTTTAGGCAGAGTTAAACTTCAAGTTGTGCAGGATATCAACAAAAATAGTTCATACTACAACCTTATTTATGGATGGGGACCAATGTGCTGTCAATTTATTCTAAAATCGCCCCGGTGTGATTCACACCGGGCTTGCTCCATTACAAGGCATGGGATCGATTTAATACCCGGCCGGGGCAGAGGAGCCCGGTTATTAATATTAGTACTATCACTGACGATGATATGAAGAAACTGTTCGGTAGGCGAACTCGATCGTCATTTCAGCAATTAAATTGTTGTAACGGCGATGATATTTCGCAAATCACTTACTTTATTTTTAAAGTGTGATGAATGTATATATCGTAATTCTATTCGCTGATTTCGTATGTTATTCAGGTAAGATACGTTGATATGTTGGCGTTAATCATTTGTGCTGTGTCACCGTAATTCAAACGCTTAGAAGATAGATAGTTTTTGAGGTACCATAAAAACATACAGGTGATTATATCCCATTCACCGCTATGTGTCTCTAAGATAGTCAGTGGTATAAATAGGCAGAAACCAGCAAAACATAAAAAAAACACCATAATATATACACAACGTATGTAGAAATGAGCACATACACATAAAAGTAAACACAACAACCACTAAGTATCCTCCCACAACCAACCCCTCCCCCCTCCCCAAAATCATCCCCAACACCACACCGGTCCATACAACTATCACTTGATAAACTTGATAAAGCCCATAAATCCATTGGCACATTTCTTTGACACCCAGCACTTCTTTCAATCTCCAACCCCTCCAGCTCCCGTTCAGGTTATAACCAAACTATAACACTAATTCTGTAGTAGTACTGCGCTTGCGTGCTATCTCACAGACCGGTTTCCGGTATCGATAACCACGTTGTTTACCTATGTGACGGTAGACCGATAGTGTGACACTGATTTGATAGATTAATAACACAGTGCAATCTAATCTAATTCCGTGCTAGTACATAATGTCTTTTAAGGCTGTCGTGCTCGGCGCGACTAGGTCATGTAGGTATCTGACTATAGGGCAACCATAGTGACTAGGGCTAGCCACGACGTGGTGGTCGAGTTGTGTACTGCCTGGATTGTACGGTAGTGTGTGTAGTATAGAGAAGAGAGGTTTGGTAATGGTTTTAGGATGTCATGCAGTAATGATTTTGCTCATATCCATATCATGTATTAATCATTAGGTATGCTGGTTATAAGGAAGTTACACATATTTGTATATATTTGCAACTTTAATATAGATATAATTAAGCCTACAGCACAGGGAACTATAGAAGTGGCTAGGGTACGGACCCCGGAACGTTACAAAAGCTTGAATAGTTAAACCTGTTGATGAAAATACAATTTACGTGTATTTGTAACTTTAAAAACTTTGTTTATTCAGGACTTCCGGTATACTATAATAATTCGCCTCGGGTGACAGTGATACCCTCGGGGTGACACTAGGCACTGTCACACTCTAATGAGACTAGTATTTATATATTACTACAAACTATTGTATCGTACCTGCGGTGCGGTATAACGTTAGAGAACAGAACCATTCCTCCAAATGGGACCTGACACACCCTCCGATCTCTGGATAAGTCCACACCTGAATCGGCACAAAAACGTAAACATAATTAGGTCAACTCTCCTTGTTAATGATGATTCAGATTGGTAATAATGTGTAAGTTTGACACCATCCTCGTCATAGCACTATCCGATAGTGCAAATGTAAATATATGAAACTGAATTTTTCAAACATGATAGCTGATTACAATACTAGAATGAAAACTAGGGCGATCAATTGATAGACAAGATCCCATAAACAGCTAGACATTGATGNAAAGAAAAAAAAAAAAAAAAAAAAAAAAAAAAAAAAAAAAATAGTTTCCCCACTCCCCCGGCTCTATACTAGTTGGTCCCCTCCCCCGGCTCTATACTAGTTGGTCCCCTCCCCTTGCTCTATACTAGTTTGCCCCCTCCCCCGGATCTATACTTTTTAGCCCCCTCCCCCGGATCTATAAGTTTCCCCCCTCCCTCGGCTCTATACTAGTTTGCCCCCTCCCCCG